GTGTTTACCAAATTTGGTGAAAATATCTATTCAAGAGTTATAGCCATTTTAGTAAAAGTACAAACATTTTGGCATGAAGTTGCAGTAAAAGTTAATTATAATTTTGTTTTGAGAACTATTGATATTCAGTCTCGAGAATCTTTCTACACTTGTTTGTTTCCAATCAGGAACTGGGCTTCACACTTCAACCCCTTTTGAGTATTGTATCGAAATTGATTTTTAACAAAACGTCTTAATATTACACAGGAAAAAGAAGAGGAATAAGGCTCCCCCAGTGTCCGTCTACAATCCCAGTGAGCATGCTTTCCTTCCAGGCCTGCATGGCATCCCCAAAGCACAGGAGGAGGAGGAGGATCCTCACACTTACGTGTACATCGATGAAACTCTAGTGTATAGCCATCTGCTTAAAGATGATGCTGAAAAAGAAGAATTTAAAGAAGCCACTGCAGATGAGAGTGATCTCAAGGTGGATTATTCACCTCTGAACAGCCCAGCTTTACCTGAGAGACCAGTCAGAAAAAGTGAAAACCTTGTCACTAAAAGCAACGCCTTGATTGACAATGAGCTCTATGGTTATGTTCAGGGACAATCAACTGCATCTGACACACCGAAGACTTCCGAAGAGGAGGGGAACTATGAAACCAGACCGTGTGTGTGAGGGGGAAAAGTCCTGATGAAATAGAATTTACTACTGTAAACTGAAGTTTATTTTTGACTGTCCATCTAATTTGTTTTTATATTTAGTAATTTTACATGTGAGCAGGCTGCTTGTTTCAAAGATTGTATGTAATTTTTGACATTAAAACATGTTTATTTATTTACAGCTTAAAAAGTTGAGATGTATTCTCTAGAAAAAGATGGAAATATTATTGAAAGCGGTTTGTGATTAGGCCGTGACCCAGGGGTTTTGTTGCAGACCTTAGAAAATTGTTTGTGATTGCAAAATCTTTTAATAGGCCAATGGCTTCTGTATAGAAACCATCACAGAAATTGGAATGGTTTCCACTACAAATACTGTAACAAACATAACAAACCATCAACTTTTAACCATTAAAACCATAAAAAATGGTTTCCTGTTGTGTGTTTTGGGGACATATTCCATTAGAATAAACAAGCTGCCAATAGAAGGTGACCAGTTACCAGTAGAGATCAACAGGGACCATTACAGTTTCCATTAAAACCAGTACAATTCCCATTATAACTAGTTAAACCATTACAAATTCTGTGATGGTTTCTAT